AGTCTTTCTGACTGCTCAGATAGGGGTCTGTAAGTGGGCAAGCATAGATGTCATTTCTGGTGTATATAAAGCATCCGCCATCATGATTGGCGACTCAGAAGCTGCCGTAGCTGTTGTACTCTGCGATCTGGTTGGCAGCGGACGACGTATTTCATTTAGCCATGTTTCAGAGAACAAGATAATGTGTGAGGGCAAAAGTGAGCTGATCGTTCGAAGGGTTTGAATTTTAATTAGGGGTGAGCGGGTATTTAAAGGTATAACCTCGATTCTGTGTTTACTGCGTGTTATATTTACAACTACCCTAAGTATGGAGGACAGGGAGTAGATTGGGCTGACCACAGGGTCGTTGCAAGGTGTGGGGCAGCTTGGAAGCTTAGGGCCAAACTTAGTAATTAATGGGCTATACCCAACTGGTTTACTGAAAGTGGACATGGTGACAGCTGAGGGACCACCGTTGACAGGAAAAAATATGCGTGTTAGGGATAGTGGAGGGGGGATGTGTTAAGGGTGAACCCAACTTCCGCTCGAATGGACGACTTCGTGTAACGGGTAGTACGCTAGGCTGTGGGCTGCTGATTGTACTCGTCCATGGTGTTTCTGCTGCATTTATAGGTCTACACAATGCACCCAAAAGAAAGGTGGTAGGTACCTCCGAACGATCAATAATAGAAGTACGCGACACTACCCTACTGAAAAACACATTGGATAAGTTAGGAATTTTTCGAATAGTATTGAGCTCACCGACCAGTGTTTCTAAGGCGAGTTGCTCTGTAGAACTCTGTCTAACTGGTGCCGGATAACTAACAATCCTTCCGGCAATCTTACGGCTCTAACCATATGAGGCTTTATACTAGTTGCTTTACAGAAAGTTTTTACGGTATCTTTAAGGTATGCGGAATCAGGGACATTGAATGCTAGAATACTGTGAATGCGTGATGTTCTGTTAAGCCATGTGGGGTATATAGAGATATTATTAGGTGATGTTGTTTGAGTTAGCCATGCAGAGACGGCTTTGAGTGGTATGCAATTGGTTCTAGGTTTGTCAGCAATGCGGTGTTCCTGAGGATCTGCTAAAATTTGTTTTTGGGGGGCTAGTTTTGTGGAGCCATCATGTATATAGATTGAATTATGGGATATCGCATAGTCGACCCCAAGTACTGACGGCTGTTAGCCGCGTGTTAATTTGATAAAGTGCTGCATCAATGTGAGGACTCATCCGGATGGAGGAAAGTCTACTAGATATGTCTTGATCAACCTTATGAATGTTGGTGCTCAGCGATTGTGCGACATGATCTTTTTCAGATTGGCGTTGCGCTTGTTTTTTGTGGATTGTTGCGCTTCGTTTTAGTAATCGGAGGCTGTACGGCATTTGCTGCACCTCTTATCGTTACTGCAGAGTCAATGGGTTCTGCTGTCTATTTAATGGGGTATTATTTGCTTTTGTATTTAGGCATTTGGTTTGGTTGCTGGCACAAGGTTTGTGCTTCGAAGAATTTCGTGCGTATCCTTGTAACATGGTTTCTTGTTTCAGCGCAAAGGGTAGCAGTTTCGGTTGTACTAGTTTCTGAGCTATTGCAGAGAGGAGCTACTTCATCTACGTCGACTTCGCTATGATTAGTATGCTTTATTTGGAGGCTGATTACACTACCCGTGCTGGTATGCAACTCAGGTAGTATGTTGGTAGTAGTGGTAGTGAATATGCCGGAACCAGAATTCCGAAGGCCGTCTGAAGGTGATAAAAGCTGATTTCGCCAAATTTCTCTTTGCAGAGGCGTTTTATCGGTCGTTATCCTTAGTATTTTGATGGTGGTGCTTTCTGCTATCTGCGTACTATTTTTGGTGAACTCGTTTGCTACCAATGAGTCACTGAATTGGCAAAGCAAGTGGCATTTTTCCGCGGCGCTTTCTTCCGGAACCTTATACAATTGCACCAACTGCCTCTCATATTACCTGCCTTAATCAGAATTTTTTGTAGTGATTCCACAGGTAGTTTATTGGGCAAGTTGAATGTTATTGTATTTTTCGAACACCGCACTTTTTTAGACACTACTCTCGCAATCGTTTCAATGAAGACGCTGGTAAGTTTAAGGTGATCCCTATTTGGGTTTACCTTCGGTTGCAGCAGGACAGTCAGAGGTTCAAGTGTATGGGTGGTTGTGTGCGAATAGTCAAAAGGTCACTTTTATTTCGAGTCTATGTAGCTAATCTTGGATAGACTTGCATTTGGCAAGTATGTCAGTCAACGGATAAATCAGTTTCTCCAATTTATTTCTTAGCCCATATGGCTTAGTGGCTTTTAACCAAATTGGGGCCTTAGCAGCTGCAGAATGTTTCTGGAAAACCATGGTATAGCGTGCACGTCTGTCTGACACTGTAAGCGACAGTTACAGACGTTTGACGGTTAGGGAGTGATGCTAGGTAAGAATCCTATAGAACTTCTCTATGGTACCTAGCCTGAACTACAGCAAATACTTCAAATATAAAGTACTAGGTTAAAAATACCGACTGTTCTCGAATTTTTATGTTGTTTCTTCTCTGTCTCTCTTACATCCATTGTACCAAGCACTTTGAGGGATGCACCCGCATCCCGTGACATGTTTTTACTTCAAATGAGCATCAAATATCGTCACCGACATTTTAGAATCTAGTCTTCTCACGTTCAGTTTCATGTGATTGATTACCATCCTGAGTTACCATTACTGTTCACACTGTCATCAGTGGATGGTGTGACGAATGTAGATCGGATGAGTTTCACCTATTTCTTTCTTGGAGACGGTGCATTCGAGGGCTCGCTGGTGCTCCATTGCTTTTGTACAGCTATTAACCTTTTATTTGACAATTCTCTCGTATGGTCATTTGAATTTCTTCTTTATTCTTTAAGTTACTGGTTTGACTTATCATGCCCGCACCAGGTTGTAGTCGAAGGGCATTTTCTATCTAAAAACTACGGGTCTGCTTGCTGTAAACGTCGTCGTCAATGCGCTCATTCTCATCCACACCTAGAATGGAGTTCTATTCACCTGCATTACACTTACTTGGTTTACCCCGTCTCCCTGCACTCTTCAAAGTGATGACCCGTTTGTTCATTCAATTTGTTGTCTGCATGTGGAGTAATTTCACTTCACATTCTTCCAATGACTATTTCAACGGAGCTTGATTTCAAGTGATCGCCTCCTTCTATTAACTTTTCTTTAACATTTTGCTCACTCTTTTTTGCAGCTGTGCACTTACAGCAATCCCTATTGGTGTACGCGTTCTCCATTCACTTACTCATCGACACACTTAACAACCATTTCTGTTCACCGAAGCGGTTAGGCTTCTGCACTTCTCCCCGGTTCTCCTCTTCCACAGTCGGTCAATCAGGTTATCCTAATTGTGCGGCGCGACATGACGCCCTGTCTGAGTTTGCTTTCCCTCATGTCTGAGGCCAGCGTCGTTTCGGTATTCCGCAAGATCTTCTTGTAATTTTTTTCTGCAGGACCATAGAATGCAGGTCTCACATCCCCGTCACTTCCGACATTGTGTACATTCTCATGTTCGGTCGACTCGTTCTCTGTTCGTGATTGAGTTGGGAGTGGCATAGTTGTGCTAGATAAAATGAGTGCTTCATCCGCAATGTTGAGAACGACTCCTATTGATTTGCGGTTGATGGGAGTCTCCTTCATATTGAAGAATGTAGAAGTCCATCTTTAGTCCTCTTCCTCGTACCTATTATTACTTGATATCACCGTTCGTTGGGTTTCGATGTGCGTCGCGTCTTCCTTTGCACGGATGTACCAACGCTTCGTTCTGTCGGATAGTAAAATTAGGCTTGATTGCATGGGAGGGGGATAGGCACAGCAGACGTAGGGACCTTCATCGTATCCCATTCGTTATTATATCCAACATTTCACTTTTATTCCCCTGCGTGCTACACCACGCTGTGGACGGGATTAACTGTGCTCTAGCTGAGTCCATGGTATATCTCACTGACCAAGAGTATAGACGGGATCAATGCACTTTTCACGGGAGTGGAAGCTCGCAGCCCGGAGTGAGTGGTCGCAACGTAATGCACATTGTATCGAAATCGAACTGATGGAACGGTGATTTGAACAGGACGTCCTTTGAACTATTTTAAAGGTGGGAATAATACTTTACTGCCGTTACTTGGTGGACTCTTCTTCCTTGCACCATAGGAGTCATTAGTCAGCCGCCACTGCCATTGAGCTATGTTGGTGGAAGATTATCTGGGCCATGCAGATTGTTGCGTTTCAACGGGGCTAGCTCGCATGGAATCTCATCTGTGATGGGACATGTAGCGTCAATGTCCAGGGTAGGAGTGCTGCAAGTATTTTTCTCCATCCACGCTAAGTATCTCTGATGCGCTTAGACGGCAGTCATTTGACCAAGGTCATCTACATCCCCCACTCCCTCGGTTGAGTCATCCTGTGGTGGACCAAGGGCAGGTAGTACTGTGCTAAGTGTTAATAGTATAGAAATGTCAGGAAAACCAAACTGTAGCGGATCGACAGCGGACCATATTAAGGCCCCAACAGAAAGAAACATTTGGGAACCGCAGATGTATGCGCGCCACACGAACTCCAACAAAAAGTACTTAGCTTGTTGGAAGTTTCGTTGGTCATAACTCTTACACGTGGTTCAGAATGTTTACCACAATGAACGACCCCGTTAGCACCTTGAGTTCTAGCAATGCGACCATCGTATGCCCTGCACATGGTCCAACGAAGCCTGGCACGTACCGGTTATAGGTGATGTTTTTGATGTTCGCTCCTATACAAGTTCAGTTTCCTTGCGTTCCCTGCCAAATGTCCATCTAGCCAATAGTCTGTACATCCTCTCACGTTATTTCCGAAAACTGTAGGTCTGTACTTAGATATGGCTCGTTTATTTTATTATTCACTCACTCTTGTATATGGATTGACAATCGCTTCAGTTGTGTTACTGCTTTTGGAATCTGAAGCCCCAGTGTATTCTCTGCTCCTCCATTCCCTCATGTGTAGTGTCTCCGAGCACGCAGACGAAAACTCCATGGACGCGTACAACCTCGCCATTTGTTTCGGACCCAGCTTGATGCCCGTGCCAAGTGACCTGAATCAGGTGCAGTACCAGACGAGCGTCATCGATCTGCTCAAAACATTTATCACTCATCATGCCGTGATTTTCGACCCCATGATTCCTGGACCTGTGTATGTAAAACATGGGATAACTGATGGCAGCACTCCCTCCCGTGGCTCACGGTCTTCCGCCTCACTGACAAAGAGAATTGAGTCACCTGTCACAAAACACCGGGACACGTTACAACTGACTTGTGTGCAGAGAATGGCTTCGGAGGTTGCGGAGACAGCCGCCCGCTGGTACGGATCTGATCGTGAACAACGGACCAATGCAAGAAATCCTGATACCAATCACCGATCAAAGTCCCCTACCCGCTGGTGCGTCCTGTTCTGCTTGCCTCTATGTTCCCTCTCGACTAACACTACAGAATTTTTCTGTTGCTTTTTGTTTGACTTCACTCAGGCGTTATTCTGGCTTCCGTTCTAATACACGTCGCATCAATCACCTCTCTGTATTTCGTCAGGTGCTCGAGCAACACAGCACGTGCATACAATTTAAGGCTCCTCACAACGGGATGTTACTTATTTACGGGAGGAGCGTACGACAATCGCACTGCACCTAAAATTATTGTACACCTCAGAAGTACTACCATCGAACATCTTGAGCGTAAAGTGGATGGTTGTCTTTGTCCATCAATGCCCGTGTTGCATCGTTCATATCTAACTGAACCATCCAGCGATTGCTGTTGATTTCTGGCACCGACTCCTTTCGCGCAACTTCGGGTTATCTCTTGCACTCGTACCATCCGCACTGGCTTGATTATGTTCCTCGCACACTTACTGTTCCCTTACCTCGTCGTATGTTGCTTTAGAATGCTAAGTCATATTTGGTAAAGCCTCTACGTGGCCAACTGATCACACGATATAAAGTGAATTTGACCGACCGACTTTACCGGAATATTACATGCCATCTCCATGGATACGGTTCTCGCTGTCCGCCATGTCATAGCTTGTAGTCCATGTTAGATATGGCTCTAACACGAAATCAGTACAGCTCTTGCGTGCGATGGTTTGCAGTTACTATCGATGTTTTTGTTCGGTGATTAAAATCTTGCTTTCTCATGAGCCCTTCTTCGATGGACTTGTGCTTTTGACTTGTTTCCGCTTTCCTGCTGTTGCTGTTGCTTTTCCTGTTATTGTGATGTATGGGTAAATCATCGCACTTCGATCCACCCAATGGGATCATAGCTGGTTGAGTTAAGCTTCCTACCCAATATTAATTTTTTTAATCATTATTGTTCTATGCTGATGTCAGTCACTGTATGCTTGCTGCTTCTCTACCCATGATCTCTTATTGGATTGAAACGACTGTAGTCCTTCTTTTGTCCCTTGGATTTGCTCTGCAGCAACATAGCAACTGTATCACTTATCTGCCGCAGTTGAGGTTATTTTTCCTATTTTAGTTTACATGGTCCCTTTTGCAAAAGTTATCAGCATTATTTCAGAATTTGTCTGTCACTATGGCTGCGAACAACCACGGAACGTCTACGTCGGCAGAGGGCTCGTGATTGACTTACGCTTGCTTACCAATGGCTCCATCTATTTACTAGCGTGCCCGCAACAATGATGTGCTTAAGCGAGTGCTAGACAGCGATAATCATTCTAGTTCCTTAGAACAACAGATAGTACTGAATAAGTTTGGCTTGGGCACATACCACATATGTCCCCTTACCAAAGAGGGCTTTGGTCTGTTTGCCTGTTGTAGGGGGGTTGCACGACTCAACATTGACAAAAGTTAACTTAGCAGCGGCAAATGAAGTGAATGACGATCAAACTCCGTACCTTCAGTCCGTCTCGGTTTCCTGGCTGGAGTCCACGTGACCCGCCTTGTGCTTGGCTAGAGAGACATTACAGGACATGGCTCGCAGTCGTTGCCAGTGATGTGACTAGCTACATTTATCCGTGGGTTAATGGCTGATTAGGACGCGGAGCAGTGAAACCCACAAAGAAGTTATCTGCCTGATGCCGCCTCATCTTTGCACCATAGCCAGCTGTTTGTGACGTCATTTTGTTGACTCGACGTCTCGGCTCGCTGATCCTGAATGTTTGTCTATTTCATTAATGATTTACGCCAAGTCCCTCTTCTTTCCCTGTTATTATTCTTGGTTCCGTAAGTCACCATGATTGTAGGGAAGCGAAGTATCAGTCCAAGTGGCTGATGTACTGCCATGATGATGTTTGCTGTGAATCTGCAATACTTAGGTTTGGGTGCAGGTGGAAAAGAGCCACAATTGATTCGGAACCGGTCGACACTCACACACGCATATCAATCACGTTAAACTTGTTGAAACATCCGTACTAGGCACAAGACCGTCGCTTGACGGCTGAGCCAAACACGACCACATAGACGGTGCACTCTGTTTTCCCCTGCAACTGTTAGCATGCTCCTGAGACCAATGATCGGCACCATGGCATCGGTCCAGTACGCGCTTTGTGCATATTCACTAGCCCCGCCATGTTAAACATGAACGCTTACCAGGCGTTCAACAATGCTCGTCTGTTGTACACGAATTTGACCCAGCCGCAGCAACAACTCAGCACACGCCACTTTATCGGCTGTCGATGTGACAGGCACATGTTGTTGGAGTTGCTTCTGAGTGCGCTGCTTGCCTGATCAGCTTACTCTTCGTTTTTTCACCGTCGGCACATCATGACCATGTTGACGACTCACCTACTTGGTTTCAACGCACGCAGCTTCACTTACTGCAATGCTATGTGGACAGTGGCGACGGGCGGAGGTCCAATTGCATGTCCTTTTGCGCCAGACGTCCTCCTCCATGTACTAGCGTTTTTCGCGCACCCATGTGACAGCATTGTCGCTGTGGTAGCCACCTGATGGGTGCCCGGCATACAGCGCCTACTGTGAACTTGGTTTAATGCTCCGTCGTTGGTTTACCCAATACCTTTTACCATACAGACCACCAGTGGCCGATATACACTGTCATGATCCCGGCAGCCAGCATTGTCTGGTAGCGTGCGTTTCTGCACACTTCTCTCATGGGATGCTAAAACGGTCGATGTTTTCCAATCGTAATGGTATCTTTGCCCTATTCCTATGTTTCCACATTTGGGACCTTCACTCTCGGATACCACTAGCTGCTGTGTGTTTCGCAACTGGTGCATTCTTCTAGTGTTTGACCTAGTGCGTTGAGTCACTGTACGCTCCTGTCATCTTTTCATCCATCTTGTTCATCAGGGGTTCAGTTGGAGCCTCCTGTCCCGCTGATCGTTCATCTTCCCTGGACGATACGGTTGATGCTCCTTCCAAAGAAGAGTACAATTCCGGTGATGATTTGCATTCTATCTCCGACAGCGAAGGTTCGTTTACTGTTAATCACCCCACGACCTGGTGGCCATAAGTTATTGCTCCTTTCATGTTCTCTTCCACTTCTTTTATTCGCCGGTGATGCTGCGCTACTTCAGAACTGAAAACTGACACTTCCCGATCGCAGCTTGCTTTATTGGTCCTTTCGGTTCTTGTCTCTTTGACTCGTCGCCTCGAAATTTGGTTCATTTTGACTTCCTCTGATGATTGCTGTGGTGCACTTAACATCATGCCTATCATCTCACTTTGAGGATACCTTTTACTGCTAGCCTGTGGTCCACGAAGTCAGCATAGACGCATTTGGTACATTCTGTATCAGTGATTTAGCCAAACTCGCAGAACCCAATGTTTGGCTCTTTTTCTCCCAATTTCTGCTGCCAGCGGATTTTGTGCGGTTTTTAACTCTTACTAGGCCTACATCCATTTCGGTTCACTTTAAATTTAACCTTGTGATGACAATAATCTCATTGCATTTCTCGATAGCATGAGACGAACCCTCTTCAAAGAGTCTGATTACAACAGAATGCTCTGTTGAATCACATCAGCGCGTAAAATAGGTGTGACGTTAGTCAAGAGCGGGATTAAAAATATCCATTGGCAACAGGACAACATGCTATGTACTTGTCACAACCATTGACAACAAAGATTTGCAACTGTGTTTATCACTTGGCTTTGGTAAACATTCCGTCCATGATCGTTATGGATAGCGGTGCGGAGGATCAGAGTAACCCGATTGTTTACAGCGTCTACTCTTTGGGTAATGAAGTGCTCCTGGATTAAGCGGCTGACACTCCCGAAATTACCCAATATTGGCTTGTATTCATCGTTCTTTCCTACATACCATGATCAATTCGGTGGACGATTGGCAGTGCACCGCAACTAGCGGTGGATCAATAAATATACGTAAAAAGTCGGAGACCAATAATTTGATGAATTGTGCTTTGCTTTCAGATTTGTTCCTACCATTTCTAAATTTTTGTATTACATCAGTCGGCAATATCGCGGTCCTTTAACGAATCACAAATGGCATGCCTCCTGATCACAAGTTTAGTAATACAATTTTTAAGCAAACCTTTTTAACATTGATGCTCTGAAAGTTAAGTGGGAACAGAGGGAACAAGTTGTTGTTCGGTTACTTAATTGGCGACATGACGTAGGTAGAAGGTTGCGACATAATGGTGCAGAAGTAAGACTATGATCCATCGAAATATGCTAGGTTTAAAACTTGGAAATCAATGACTTGAAGAAAAGCGGTAATTTAAGCACTGATTGGTTTCCAACTAGGTCTTCCCATGTCCTAACAAGGTCACCACGTAAACAGAAAGGGATTGCCTTTTCGGACTCCTTCAACTGAGTCGAAACGTGATGCGATGATTTGCGCGCCTCAGTGATCTACTGAGCAATGCTATGTGGTCGTATTTACACCTTAAGAGCCACTCATACCAGATTGGTCAATGGTTGAAGGTTGGGTGTCGGAGTGAGGGTGAATCCATAAAACGGACTCTTCGTAGCCCAATGCCAAAACCCCACTGTCTTGCGCTTAAGTTTTTGAGCCAAAGGCTTTGTTTGATAACCTTTATCGTCCTTATGTCTATTGATGACTTTGTTTATGTTATAGATTATTGCGTATATATATATATATATATATATATATATATATATATATATATATATATATATATATAACCATGCCCCATGCTGAGGCTGATGTTGCGTTCATGACGCTTCTTCACTGCAGTTGCGCTAAACCAACTTACGCTTAAGCTAAGTCTTTTTAAGCTGTATAAATTTCATTCCACTTTATTTGGTTTGTTCTGCCTACCTGAATAATCTTTTATTCACTTGCGCACGTTGCTTAAGCTAATTGCGCTTATCTTCGGTAACTTTATTGCGTTTATAGCATTTTTAAGTAACTTATGAACGTTTCTTACTTATCGCAGATTCGTTGCTAACCAACTTACTTCATATGCTAATTTAGGGAAGTGTTTTGTCTGCATAGCCGTGTGCTTTAACGGATATATTTTTTGTTAATGTTATTTCAAGTGATTGGCTGTTGTTTGACATCCCCCGGTGTGGCTGCGCTTGATGTGCATATTGACAAGGTGCCTACCTATCTATTACCCACTACATCGTCCATACTGACTCTAGTAGACGCTTGATCGTTGCTGAAGGTGACGGGGTGCACGGTCCTTGTGGCCGTGCTAGGCTCAAAGAGTGGTCCCATGCACTCAGTGTGGAGCGGACTACGGTCCAGCCAACGCCTTGTTAGCGATTAATTCCCAAATACAGCCTGCTTGTGTTTGCATGTGAAAGAGTGTGGGCTGGCCCATTTTATTGAAACCTGGCTCCCTTCCACATACCTCCCGGTCTTATTTCTTCGGGTTTGCACTGGATATGGGGTGTGTGTGGTTGGAGCTGTGGGTGGTGCAGCGCAAGCCACCCATGGTCCTTCTGTAGGCGCAGGCGTTCTGTGGTTGGCCACAGTGACAGGCAAATCCGAAACCGGATGCCGTTAACCATATATCTAACCAATAAAGCGTTTTGCTCGGGTGAACTATGCGGGCCTTTTCTACAAATAGAAAGTGTGCGGAATTGGATGCGTGAATTTTGTCGTCATACGAAAGAACAGGGTTCGATTGCCATCTACTCGACTGGTGGCCCTCCACTAGTGGCTTACTCCAGCGCAGCGCACTAAGACCCACTCTGTTCCTAATCTACATCAACTATCTACCTCAACTTCCTTTGTCGCCATGTGCCCTGTCTGTGGAGGATCTGGAGGATGTAGGGACCGCGAGGAATCTGCGACGACTTAGACTTACTTCGACAAGACGTAAACCGCCACTTCAAATTGTCTGCAGAGGTCTGCCTCCCGATCAAACTAAGAAATCGATATGCATGACCTTGGCGAAGAGTGTTGGCTGCCGAATCTGCCCCCCCCCAGCGGTCAACCGCTACATCCCATGCCTTCCGTGAAGGACTTAGGTGTACTCTCATGCTGCCATTTGAAATCCTTGGACAACACGAACAAATTCTGGATACCTTGGAAAATATTTGGAACCGAAAGGTTTGTCAAACGACCGGTTAGTGTATTTGTTATGGACACGAACAGGTTACGTGCAATTGCGTGTACTTTAGCTTATTGGACGCAGCTTCTGTACTTGTTCTGATGTGGTCGCCACTCGTCTCTTCTGTTCCCACAAAAGACCAGTGATAGAGTACGGCTCGATCGCTTGAGGCGAGGAACAGAGGAGCCACTGTGTCCAACATGTCGCTACTAGGCACATTCCTGGTTTACGATGATTACCTTACTAAGACCCTTGCTGGAAATTATGACTCTACACCTTGTCCTAACGTCGGCTGCGAATCGATCTCCTCTTGACCGACTGCAGATCACTTCTCGGTGCTCCGTCTGCAAGCGCCATACAACACACGCGGACACCGGTAACAGCTTGTGATACCGGGTTAAAAGCGAGGTGCCCACCCCCTGAATTTCGAACGGTTAGTGGACAGTGTTTGGAACAGCCTACCAGAATGTGATGTGAAGGCTATATCTGTGCAGCAGTTCAAAACGTTAATGGATTCATATTTCACCACTATTCCATTTAGAGAACGATTTCACACTGACAGTCACATCTCACATTTGTGAGTCCTGTGCCATTTTATATGTTGAGTAACAACTTTAAGAACGATTAGAATATAAACTGATAACAGATACTTTTGACTCATCTCACCGTACGATAGTCAAGATTGAGATTTATGCTTGCACCCACGCAACAGTATTTAGATGCGGAAGCTGACTCACGAAGACGTGACGTGGAGTGGGGAAAAGGATAGGGAACCTCGTCCACGAACATCGCGCACCCCCTGAGAAACACACCAGCGCCGGGATATTACAATCTAGTTCGACTCTTGGGCTGCAGCGAGGCAGTAATCTCAGGCAGATAGGTTCTGTTCTGACATAAGATGGAGAACTTTTGGGATTCCGCAGTCCAATGCAAAGAGTGTCGGAAACAAGTTGAAAGGGGGATTCTCTCCATACTCTATGGAATTAAGTGTTTCATTGTGAATACGTTCTAAGGGAAAAACCATGCACATGAGGGCCACAAATCTTTTATGGAAATCGTCACTGAACCGTCGCCCAAAATTCCACTACTTGTGCAGTGTATACTTCCAGGTATGATATAAATATTGCATATGCATCCGAAACACAAATGCCCACCGAAGATACTGTGTCAAGGGCTCATAAGCCAACAGCAAAGGAACATCAAGGTGATGAAAACAACAAGCCTAGTGCAGCACCCATCAGAAACAGATTGTCCAAAAGGATCAAGATACTATACCGAGGTGGACGCGATGTACGAGAGCGCTACACTGCGAGATTTTATGGTTTTCAAAAGTGAAGAAACGTCCGTGGAAACGACGTAACTCGGATTACTTTCGTGATGAACCTACGATCACTGATGTTTTAGCGTACAGGAATCGTATTTCAATCCCACCGCCAAATCGCAGGCATGCTGAAAGACCCATCGAGCCCGTCCGGGCGATAACAACAGTATCGACAGGCAAGGGAGTTGAGTTCATGGCCCGAGATGATCAGACAAATTCGCAAGTATGCGTCCAATCCTACAGTTTCCAGTTCTCACAAATCCTAGCGAGCCAATGAACTACTGGTGTTACAGGGTTTTCCAGATCGATCCTAACACATGATAATGGTGGGTCTACTCTGTGATTACTAGAAAAGCCACACACAGTGGAGAACCAATATTTATTTCGGAACTGACTCCTTGTATATCACCACAACAAAAGCGGCCACTAGCAAAACAGAGTGTCAATTCGCTTGGTGCGGATTTTCGAAGGAGCCGGTGTCCGATAATGGTCCCACTCACTTAACCAATGTTAAGACCAGGTTTTCCCAACCAAGTTTACGCACTATTAACTCAACACTTAACTTGAACTGCGGAGGAATCAGTGAAGTAAACCAAGAGAATGATGT